TGTTGTGCTGGCCCCACTGTAACGTATTATTTATAAAAATTAGTGATGATTATAATTTCATTACCCTCTGACTGAAAGTTACTTTGTTTCTTAATTATTTGTTTAAAATGTGTTAATAGTTCATCTTATTATATGTTAATAATACTAATATATGTAATAATAGTATTATATGCAGTTATTACCATGTATTTTAATTTGATTTGATTCATTCATTTGGAACACAGTTCTCAGGTAGAATTGTAAAGTCAACAAATAATTTGATAAAATGCTTTACAACACAAAAGCTACACTGCTTTCGTAAGGAATACTGAGACTCATTAATAGTAATTTTGGTTATTTAATCTATAGTAAGTTAGTGGTCATCATTTATAATATTTCCCATTATCTGGCTTGTATCTTGTTGTTAACATTTTTAAACACTTGGCTGCTGTTCTATTAGAAACATAACAAGAAGGAAACAGTATGCTCCAAGAAAGTGCAAGCAGACTGTCACTTTGACAATTGTCAACTTCTATTCTGTTGCCCAAACAAAGCAATTACTGACAATTGAAAAAAACAAGGGGCTTTGGGTTGGTGTTATCACGTAACAAGTGAAGCAGCTGTCCGTAGCACTGACATCCACTTGGGGGCTGGTTCAAACCTGACTGCTCTGCTTTTGATCCAGCTCCTTACCAATGAGCTGCAAAAAGCAGTGCCTCACTGGACCCAGTGTGAGGTACTTGCCATTCACATGGCGGGGTCCACTGAGGCATTGGCTTCAGCTTCACCTAGATCTAGATGTTGTGGCCATCTGGGGAGTGAGTCAGCAGATGGAAGATCTATTTTATAACTCTTTAAATGGATAAATCATGAGAAAAAAAAAACAGAGAACCCTAACTCTGCTATTGTAACATTAGGAATTCCTAGACTTTTATTATTAATACTATATTTAGATTCAACTTTGTGTAAAACTTCATGTTACATAACGTAGAAGTCTGTTTTTAAAATTATTAGTGTGCTGTCTTAATGCATAATAGGACAGTTGACTAATGCTTTGATAGATATCTCCCTTTGATGAACTGTGTTAGAATATTATAACATGAATACAGGAATTTTTCATTTGTAAAATAGCATCATAAGGAAGATTCTTTCCCTTTCAAAAGGAGAGATTTTTTTTTTGTTCCATAACAGTCTTCATTGGTTGGTGAGAACCTATACATAAGGCTCAGTTTTACTAGATCTATAGCTCATTATTTGTAGCTTTTCACTGTTGTTGCTTTAAAGCTGGTATCAAGGAAATGAAGTGTGTGTGTATGAGAGAGATCTCTTTTTTTTTTTTTTCAACCTTGTGTGCATTGTTCAGAGACTAAGGATTCTCTTCATTGCAACATTCTCAGATTGACGATGAAAGTCACTAATCACTCCTTATAATGATGTTTTAGACTTATGATATCTGGTATGGTAGCCACTTTGTTAAAATTCAGTAGTTACAAATGGCTAGTGATAGTTCTTGTATAGCAGAACTTTTTAAGATTTATTTATTTTTATTACAAGGTCAGATACACAGGGAGATCCTCCATCTGATGATTCATTCCCCAAGTGACCACAACAGCCAGTGCTGCACCAATCCGAAGCCAAGAGCCAGGAAATTCCTCCTGATCTTCCATGTGGGTGCAGGGTCCCAAGGCTTTGGGACATCTACTGCTTTCCCAGGCCACAATCGGGGAGCTGGATGGGAAGTAGAGCAGCCTGAACAGGAACCAGTATCCATATCTGATCCTGGCGTCCCAGTGAATGCAAGATGGAGATTTAGCCACTAAGTTATTGTGCCTGGCCCTATTTGGCTATTCTTGTCTGAGATAAGGTGCTGCCACTATTGCCAAGCTCTGCTTCTTCATGGCAACACACTGGGATAAACAGAGGAGGTTATTCCGAACTGGAGGGTGCAGTTTTGATTTCTCTGTAATATCTATGCAAATCCATAACTGATTTTGGCACACTAGTATGAAGTGTCATCTACAAAGAAAACTCATTTATTTGAAAGGCAGAGGGAGAAGCAGATATACGTGCCCTGTGATTCACACCCCAGATGTCTGCATCAGCTAGGACTGGAGCAGGCTGAAGCCAGGAGCGGGAGTTACTTGAAGCATCACCTTGTGCCCACCCTGGGTGTGAATTGTCAAGAACTGGAGCCAGGGTTGTGCGATTATTCCAGGCCAGCCATGAATGTGGAATCCAGCCTTGTAACTGCTGTGTCAGATGTCCATGTCTGCACTATTTGGCTACATACTAACTTATTTGGCTGTTCGTAAAACTTTCTTTTATTCCTGACCTCTGGCAAGATCCATTCTCCCGTGATTTATCTGCCTCAAGGATTTTAGTCTGTATTGTCTTAACAGTCTAAATCTTTGGTTATTGCCTTTTGTGATCAGTCTCTGCAGAGCTTGGGATCATTTGTTTCTAGCCTCTTAACATTTTGTCATCTTTCTGAAAGCCTGGTTCACTACTAAGCACAAACCTGTACTGCATCAGTTTTATTCTGGAAATTTCATCATAATATCATGATTCTCCCTCTTCTAATCCCTCCATCAACATGTCCAGTGATTGCAATTTAGCTAGCTTTGTGGATTGCTGCTATCTTCAATTTGAAATAATATGCCTTCTATAGTAACATATTTTTGTCTTTTGCCCCGTCAATCCCAATCTCCTCAGTTATTTTACTGAAATGATTGATTCAGCATTGTCCCTGTGTTACATCACATTCATCTCCGCATCTTTTCACTACTGCTGGACAGAGAAGCTAACATGCTGTGCTGCTCATCAACATATCCCTTAGTAAATGTGCCTAACAAAGAGTTGTTGTTTTTAAAGTTTATGCAACAACCTGGACCTGCCAGAAAGAGAAAATAGCTTACACAAAGGGATATTTTGTCCATTATTCCACTTTGTAAACAAGAGAATTAATCCAGTGTAGGTTTCCAGTAGTGAATGTTTCACCAAACTGAAAGCGTTTCTAGTTTCAAGATACTTTGTGCAGTTCTAATGTGCTTCAAAGGAGGAAACATAGGTTTGTCTTCCTTTAACTTCACTGTAGAAATTGGCACGATACAGAACATGTTATCAGACTGCTTCTAAATACTTTTGGATGCTTGACTTTATGGAATAGTCCAGCACACAGTTTTACACCTTCGTGTTACATATACATTCAGTGTCAACACTAGATCTATTCTTTCTTCTTGAGAAATCACTATCACAGAAGAGTCTGGAAAAATTTTCAATAAGATTTTAAGTGCTATTGACCTAATCGAAGAAAAAAACAAAGGAAGCTTTTTAATATCAGGCTAGACACGCTACAGTGCAGGATAAACTATTGATCAGTAAATTTTAAAACTGAAGGCCTAATATATTTGAGAGACAGAGATGTAACTCCATGTATACTCACTCACCATCGTGGACTAGACCTGAAACCTGATCTTACCCCATCCCAGGGTCTGTGTCTGGAACCCAGAAGTGAAGCTAGGAATCAAACCCAGGTCCTCCATTAGAGATGTAGGTGTTCTAAAGAGTGTCGTAGCTCTTAGGCCAAACACCTATTGCTAAAGTCACGTTCCTAAATTCTGTAGCAGTAAACTACTGTACACCAAAATATGACCTTTTTCTTACAGAAAAAGTCCATACTTAGAATGTATATTAACTTCAACTTGTTAATAACATAGTACATTGTATAGTGTGATTGCTGTAGCTTCTGTCCATTTCTGTAAGATGAAAATAATTCTGGTGTCAAAAATCAAGAACAAAAACCTGGATAATTTTAGTTGAAATTGGCGCTGACTATTGTAAAACATGAGTAGTTCTTGTTACCCTTAAAAGTGTTTATGAGCTATAAGAAGAGCTGTGTATGTTGAAGGTGTGAAGCACAAAGCATTTACAATACAAATGGATTTTATTTGCAAGCTTGCTTTGAGGGCTTAATTTGAATTTACGACTGCCAGAATTCTGAAAATATTTTTACACTTAAAAAAATTACCTTCATCCTAGTAATATCTGCTTCAATTATAAATCATTTTGAGTTTGCATGTTAGCAACATGATTACTGTTTAATGATGCCATCATAAAATGTTTCAAAACTTACAAATCTCTTTGCATGAACAAATTAAGTGAAATATTAATAAGCCAGTAGTGTTAATTGTGTTCTTATTATGTAATACCATAGATTTATCCTGAGAAGGTTTTTTTTGGATCAAAATTTCATGAAAGGCAGGTGTTATAATGCAGCCAGGTAGTTGATCCATGAATTGGAGTAGCCGTGTCCCACATTGGAGTGCTGGGGATGGAGTCCTGCTTTGGTTTCTAATCTAGCTTCCTGGTTGTGTATACCCTTGGAGCTGGTGGATGACAGTAGAAGTACTTGTTTCCCACATCCTGTGTGGAGTTTCTCGATGGGGTCACTGTCTCGTGGCTTTGGCCTGACTGTCCTGGCTATTATGGCCAGTTGCGTAGTAAACTACTAGCCTAGTAGATTTTCTCTCACATACTCTAATCCCATCTTTTAAATAGTGTTAACAAATAATTTTTTAAACGAATGTTCAAATAAATATTCATGAGTTTTAAATTGACATAAAAATTTTTTATTTATTTGAATGGCAGAGAGGTCAAGATCTTGTATCCAGTGATTTACTCCCCAAGTGCCCACAAAGCTGAGGTTGGGCTAGACCAAAACCTTGAGCTTAGTTCAATTTGGGTCTCCTACATGAGTGGTAGGGAGCCAGGTATTTGAATCATCATCACCTTCTGACTGCCAGGAGTGTCTTAGCAAAGAACCTTGAAACAGAATTCCAAGCCGGGCACTCCTATATATGGGCATAAGTGTTTCAAGCAGCATCTTGGATTCACTTTATTTTTTATGACAGGTTGATGTATAGGCTTGGAACGTGTTACAGAAAACATGTTAACTTCTGAAACCAGTAAGGTAGGAAAGAAAAACTAACTTCTTTCTTTTTGTTTTTGTTTCAACCATACAGCAGACATAATTTCTACGGTAGAATTTAATCATTCTGGAGAGTTACTAGCAACAGGAGATAAAGGTGGTAGAGTCGTCATCTTTCAACAGGAGCAGGAGGTATGTGTTCAAAGTTTAATATCAAAATCTTTCAGTTTTGGAGTTTTTGTTAACATTGGAGAATCTCATCAGAGGACATGACAAATTTTAGAACAAGTTTCTGTTTATTAATAGGATATCAAGTATTTCGGTAACTGTCTCAGCTTTGTGTGGGTGCATGATGCATACATGTTGTATGTGGTGTTTCGATTATAAGACATAACACTTTAATTCTGAAATTACTTGGTTGGAGAAGGGGGTGGGAAGTAGTAGAATAATCCGAGATTTTAACCAGTTTTTGGCTCTTGGTTACGATTTTTCTGTTAAAATTCCATAAAGTAAATGTTACTTTCCTCCTCTCAGTGCTCGGCCAGCTCAGTTATTTTGATGTCAGTTCATTCTAACAATGGTGTTATTGTTGGCTTAAAAAAAAAAAAAAAAGATTTAAGTGACAGTTGCATGTGATGTAATTTTAATTGCAGTGCTAGATTTAAATTGAGTTTATTGGAAATTGCTTCCTTTTTCCTTGAAGATTTCCTCATTGCAGAAGCTATTAAAATAGAATTTTTTTTGTTTCATTTTACCTACAATTTAGGCACACTCCTAAATCTAGTTAACAAGATGTCTCACTAAAACTTCAGGCTAAACATAATTGGTCACAATGAGTTTTCCTGTTAGTCTCTCCTTCCATTTGCAGATAAAATTTTTAAATTTGTTTTGAAGTATCCTGCCTCCAGCTCTCTTAAATATACTCAAAAGGAGGTGAAAGTGATGTAGATAAAATGCAGGATTTTACAAATAGACTTTTGGATGAAACACAGAGTTAGCTTTTAAAGGATTGTAAATTCCTTAAATAAGCAAAGAATATAGTAATAATACTACTACTTTGCACTTCTATAGCGCCTTTGACCTGAGGATCTCAAAGTGCTTTACAAACACTAATGAATTAATCCTCACAACACCCCCAGTGAGGTAGGTAATTCAATTTTAAAAGAAATTAATAGTGTTTGGTTAGACAGTGCACCAACACTAAATACGTCTCCTATTTTTTGGTCAGAAGAAAGTTTGAAATAAAGACTCAAGCTTTGTTTGACAAAGAGTGGTCTCGTGGGACTGGGGGAGGATGGTGTATCAGGTTTCTGTTCCTCTTTTCAAACAATAAAAAACTTCACTGTAAAGATTGTTGGCGGGGTGAATAGGTGGGGGTAGTGAGTGACAATAGGGAGAGAGAATATGCCCTCATCTGCTGGTTTGCTCCCCAGATACCCACAAATCAAAAACCATTCTCTTAGTCCAGATCTCTATTGTGGGTGACAGGAACCCAATTTGGGGTATGAGCATTTTAACTGGTATCTTAGTAGTACACTTAAAGGCCTATGCCAATTGTAAGAATATCCTTCCAGGGCCCCACACAGTGGCCTTGTGGCTAAAGTCCTTGCCTTGAATGCGCCGTGATCCCAGCAGCCCTGCTTCCCATCCAGCTCCCTGCTTGTGGCTGGGTAGGCAGGCAAGAATAGTCCAAGGCCTGGGACCCTGCACCCAAATGGGAGACCTGGAGGAGGTTCCTGGCTCCTGGCTTAGGATTGACACAGCACCGGCCGTTGCGGTCACCTGGGGAGTAAATAAGTCTTTAAAAAAAAAAAAAAAAGAATGTCCTTCCATTTCATTACAATTTCCCTTTTTATAAAAATGAGAGATGATATGACTTCATTACTTAGCGATAAAACTAACAATTAGTATACAAAACATGATATGTGTCTTTTCAGTATTCTTTGCGTCCCTTCTTAGTAAGTAACCAAAATATTAATATTAGATTTGCTACTTAAAGCAGGCCTTCACTTAGATGTTTTCTGTCCTTAAATAAACCTTTTTCTTAGTGGCTTTCCACACTTGGTTTTGTTTTAAAAATAGGTATGTGGCGGGGGGGAAACTTTCTAGAGTTAATTTTGCTGACTCTGTTTACTCTTTAAGAAAATTCACAAGTTGAATAGTCATGGGGGTTTCAGAGAGTCTTCATTTTTAATGAGCTCATTGTATCATTTTAAACTAAGTTGTCAAAAGCTAATTTGGAAACAACTGACAATGAAGTCATTATCACCTTCTATGGGTGGTAGTTTAAAGTAAAAATGAGAAAAATGATGAAATAAGAAATTATATAAATGCTGTAATACGAGAGATGCAGTAATTTAGTGCTTTCCTAGAGATGTTATTGTGTTAATGTGGAATTAAATGTCTAACATGTGAGTCAGAGAAATTAAGACATTTCACTTTTATTAGAAAATAGGGATTAACCACTTGTTAACAAGTATTTTGTATGATTTTTGACATTCATTATATCATGCAAATATTTCAAATACATGTTCTTCTAAAAAGAAGCAAGCAGTTACTGTTTTTCTGAAAAAGGCAATTGGCAGGAAAAATAGCACTTTTTCATGTGTCTGTCAACCTTATTGAAAATTTTCAGAGAAATTGGTTGCCTAGAATCTTAGTGTAAAAATCAGTGTATTTTGTTAAAGTGACCTTAGAAGAACAATGGTTGTCCTTTTCTCCCTGAATCTCAATCTTTGCAATATCATGTTGCTGTATTGCACTGATTAATTTTCCACATTTGTAAGCCATTTTTTGGGAAAGCTTCTAGATGCAATGTAATCTTCAGTGTCTGTCACTGATTATAAATGTAGGTGCTTTGTACTTAGAGATATCCTTATTTCAGTACCTATCATATTTGGTATGATGTTACACATTTATATGAATGGTAGTATTTTTAAAATGAAGTATAACTTAGAAATATTCTTTCCCTAAGTTAAATTTTAAGGTAAATCCCAGAAAATTATTTAACAAGTTTATGTTGCTTAGTTTAGTAGCAAAGCTCTGTGTGTGATTAGGACTTGGTCACTACTGTTCAGTCCAACTAATCCTATATTCCAGTGTGCACTGCTGAACATCCAATTAATATTTCTTATTCTTTGATAATTATGCCAGTCTTTGGTGGAAAATTCCATGGCATTAGATCAATATTAGTTTTGTCCTTTTTCCCTCTTTCCTTCTGTTTCCCTGCTGTATTTAAAGAAAGATAAACTATCTCTTGGTCACTCTCCAACTGTGTGCATTGGCTAGGGCTGGACCAGGTTAAGGACAGGAGCTGGAAATTTCACATGTGTGGCCAAGACCTAACCATTGAAGCAGTCACTGCTGCCTCCCAGGAAGGTAGAATTGGAAAGGATGCTGCATGTTGAATTCAGACACATCAGTATGGGACATGGGCATCAACTAGCATCTTTAATGCTAGGCCTTTGGCCCACCCAGTCTTTACATTGATCTTACTAACTAAAGAAGAAAATTCATACAGTAACAGCAGAGATCTTAAAATCTTAGTCTTTGACATTGTTCCACATTCCTTTCTACAGCATTTGTTAAAACTTTCAGAAATGCCAAAGCATGTTATGTCATCCTCTTGGATATCTGCCTGTCACCAATCAAAACGTAGAGAAATGAATAGTCATACAGAGGTTCTTGATTCAGTTTGAATTTATTTCAGATTGATCATTGATTAGCATTTTTAGCTTCTGTTTTTTTAAAAACAAATTATTTATCTTATTTGATAAACAGAGATCTTCTTGTTCATCCCCCAAATTGCTGCAGTGGCCAGGTCTGGGCCATCCCAGACTCAGGAGCCAGAAACACTAGCTGCGTGTCCCCACATGGGTAATAGGGCCCAGTTACGTGGGACATCATCTCCTGCGTTCCATTAACAGGAAATTAGATTAGAATCAGAGATGCCAGTACTCAGAGTCAGCACTCTGTTTTAAGAATGCTGCAATGGGCCCGGCGCAGTGGGCTAGCAGCTAAAGTCCTTGCCTTGCATATGCTGGGATCCCATATGGGTTCCAGTTCATATCCCAACAGCTCCACTTCCCATCCAGCTCCCTGCTTGTGGCCTGGGAAAGCAGTTGAGGACGGCCCAAGTTCTTGGGACCCTGCACCAGCGTGGGAGACCTGGAGGAGGTTCCTGACTCCTGGCTTCAGATCGGCACAGCACCGGCCATAGGGGTCACTTGGTCACCAGACGGAAGATCTTCCTGTCGGTCTCTGCTCCTCTCTGTATATCTGACTTTGCGGTAAAAATAAATAAATCTTTTTTAAAAAAAGAGAGAGAGTACTATATTTGCAAGTGATGCCTTAACCTGCTCTGACACAATGCTTGGCCCTCTGGATGCTATCTCATTTTTTTTTTCCTAAGACTTTTTTTTTTTTATTGGAAAGGCAGATTTACAGAGAGATTTTCTGTCCTGGTTTACTCCCCAACTGGCTGCAACAGCTGGAGCTGAGCCAATCTGAACCCAGGAGCTTCTTCCCAGTCTCCCTTGTGGGTGCAGGGTCCCAAGGCTTTGGGCTATCCTGCTGCTTTCCCAGGCCACAGGCCCGAGAAATGGAACAGGCGGGACACGAATTGGCACCCATTTGGGATCCCAGCGCATTCCAGGTGAGGATTTAGCCACTGAGCCGTTGCACTGGACCTAATATGTATTTCTTTAACCAACATGGTTGTATAGTTGCTCTTTTACACAGAATCTGATGTAGAAGCGTGGCATAGAAAACTGCTGAGATGTGTAGGTTGAATTTCTTATATCAAAACTTATCATTTGTTTTCTATGAACTTGTAAAGTTTTTTCATGATAAGTTACCTCACATACTTGGTAATGAAAACAGTAATACAATTATTTTGGATAATTCTGACTAGCTGTTGGAGTAGGTGGTGATATACTTCACAGCTTGTGCAGTTTTTGTTTATGTGTGTCTTGAATTGAAATAGTAGTAGTAGAAGTAGCTGATTTCCAGTTTGCCTCCAGATTCCCTGTCACAACCTGGTGAGTTACAAAGGACAGATAGGAGAAAGGGAGAGAAGAGATTGTTCTTTATTTCTCTCTGTGTTCTTTCTAGAATAATGTGAGGACTCTTCAGAATGCTGGAAACTTTCTCAAATGTCCTTCCTGCTTGCTTTTTTGATCTTTAATGTGGTA